TGGACCATCGTGCCGTCGCTTTTCGGCTTACATGAAATCAAATCGGCGACAATTTATACGATCACGAAGGAAGACTCACGCGGACATCGCGGCGTTCGTTTACAGCAGTGTCAATGACGTCTTGAAACCACTCGCATATGGCTGTCGACTCAGGTGTACCCTGCTCGCCGAAAACATCCCGCAAAACGATGAGTTCAGCGAAGACGACACCAGCTGAAAATCGGTGAGAAGTCAGTCGCCAAAAAAGAACTTGGAACTCGCCTTTGTCTTTATCGAAAAAGATGACAGACTCCTCGTCAGTCACGATGTAGAACCCAGCAGCCTCGTCGCATACAAAATCATTAGCGAAAGGGCGACAAGCAGTGTCAGCGAGGACAGTCCGGATAGGCGGGCCGAAAGATAGGTCCCGTTTGCGCTCGATGATGCGAGGATTAAGAAGGGTACCAATCGGGGCCTTGGGATCGATGGGACAGCCAGCAAGAAAATCAGCGATGGTCTTCGGCTCTTTATTGGCAAGATGAAGCTTATAGACCTGGGTTCGATGAGGGGGTGGAAATGCGAGAGACAAAACATAACATACCAAACTTCGCTTATCCTGATGCGAGGCGATACCCTCCCTAGCCTGGCGATTGATCCGTTCATTCAGAGATTCGAGTTCAGGAAGAATAGCCAGTTTCTTGTTTTTAGCCAGAGTCATAGCAATACGAAGATGGCGCTGAAGTGCGAGAAGACCCTACCAAAGGAATGTTTATGATGAAACTCAAAACCAGTGGATTCATACATTAACTTCAGGAATGTTTCGGATTTTATTAAGTTTCTCCAGAAAGAGCTGGACTGCCTCGTCATTGCCGACATCGAGATCCAGTACTCCAGGCTGCGAGAGAAAGCCCAAGACTGCACAAGTGAATACTAGGGAGATTTGAGCCCAGAAAAGCAGTACCAGTATTATCAGTCTGTTGTTTGTCATGACTTTGATGTTTTCCCATGTCTATGAATGCCGGAAAGCGATAATTCAAGCAGGAGAGTGGTCGGGGAAGAGAAAGAGGTGCCAGCTCATCGTGTTATGGCACACATTGATGTCACACATGTAGGGGATCAAACCGGCCCCAACACTCGGATTTCCTCGGGTTTGATCACAGTTTGATGGTGGTTTGATCCTGATATCATGGTTCACTCGTTGATCACTGGGTGGGAACCATAGTATAACCATGTTCATATGTTCCATGTTCAAAATGCTCAAATCTTGAACTTGAACCTTGGCTTCTGTCCAACGATAAACTTCGGACTTCAACCTCGGCAAACTTCGGACTTCGAACCTCGGATCACCAAACATAATGTATCAGAATATGTACAGAAACTTCGAGCTCAAGCCACAGCTGGCAGTGTAAAGCTCCGACCTCAACCTCGACACTCAACCACATAATAAACAACGAAAAAAACATTTATAGCCTTTGTTTTACTTATTACTTGTTATAAGTACTCAGATGTCTCAAAACCGCGGAGGTTATTGAAAGTGTGTAAAAGGAAGAATGCACTGGTCGAGGATCGAACTCGGGACCTCCCGCATATAGTGGTGGTTCTACCAACTGAGCTGCCAGTCCTGGATCACCTGGGTCCACTTGACATGTCAAGTCGCACAGCCACCTTCGGATTTAGGACCGATAACACTTTTTCTCTCCTCACGAGTCCCCTAACTCCAGCAGAGGGTCTCAGCACAATAGTAAAGCTACTATGAATGAACCTAGCGAAAAAAAATTGCGAAATTTTCATGACCATCGCACACCCCGTTGAAAATGGCGCAGTGGGATGCTAAGTGTGATGTGATGGTCACGTCACACTTAACCTTTCGTAACCTCTCCTTCCACCGTCCATCCGATTCTCGTACTTTTCTGCGCGCTTTCAGGCACTTTTGACTCCTCAAGCCCAGTGAGAAGTCCAGGCAGCCAGATCGAACCGAATCGAGCTATAACGAACCAGCGGCGCGATGAGTCGAGCCAGATCAAGCCGTCGGACATTTTTCGAGCGAAAATAGACGCGTTCGCTTTGGGTTCGCTGTGGCTCGACGGAATTGCTTGGGAATTGCCTCTACACGTCGAGCAGCATCGGCGGATTGGCATATTTTTGCTCACCGTTTTCCAAAATTCACACAGCCGACAAGGAGAATCTCCTTAGAAAATGGCGGGGGCTTGAAATGGCTCGATATTTGTCCGCTGGCTCGATCCGGCTGCCCGGACTTCTCACTGGCCTCAAGACCACTAAACTCGCTGTCCTTTGCCTCTCCCTCAGATATCCTTTCTTTTCATGGGTTTTAGGCCCTGAAATGGGCTGGCAATTGTATTGGCTTCGGCACCGCTGCACGCGCATTTTCTGGCCAAAATTCAATATAGAGGGTTCCGATGGGATAGATGAGTATCGGCAAGAGTTCTCATGGTTCTCAGGTACGTTTTTATCTCTGAAATCTAGTCTGATTCATCGTATATGCCTCCGCTTGCCATTTAATGCACAAAGCTACCGTGAACACGTCCCAGCACTTTCAAATTGATTCCTACATCTGGATGGATTCTCATTGGCCCCCCCTTCACATTTTCTGCCGTGTTCTAGTGTCTGTTTTCCGGCGCGCAGATGCGGCCTATCCCTCTCTGTATTAATGTGTATTTACATTGGAATTCAATGAATATGATTTGTAGACATTCCGCATGGTGGTGAACCTGAATAGCAAGACCTATGTTCTGAAATTACCTGGGCAATCACCAGCCTGAGTTGCAGAAATTCTCCCTTTCTCTCTTTCTTTTATTTCTTTTTCGGCGATTTTACCCCTTTGGGGACCCAGTAGTATGATCGGAAAACCGCCAGTCCGTTTAATTTGGGACGGGATCCAAACATGTTGGACTAAGTCACTAGCTGACTTATGACTCAAGGCTATGCAGTATTACAGCATGCTTGTTAGTTGAAGCAAGGTAATGGTTCTGACAAGATGTATTAGCTACAATTCTTCGGTGAATCTAGAACTTAAACCAGTCACTCTGTTCGCCACAACCTAGCTCTCGTGTGCCGAAACTATTGCCTTACGGTAAACTTTCGTCACACTATAACCACACTAGAGAAATAACAGACCTAGAAAACCTACCAAAGCATACAAGAAGCGCTCGAGACGAATAGTCGCGATGGCATGCTTGGGCAATGACGTAAGGGGTGCCAGATAGCAATATGTTAGCAAGGCGGGTCGCGGTCTTCTCGATCCGTGATGAGAGAGAGGGCTGAGGATGAGAGAGGCTGATGAAGGCAGGGTCTTGTGTGGGTGTGTGGAAGGCTCGGCCGTTCCGGCCGACTCGACTTTGCGCATCTGGGCGTCAGGAAAGCCGAGTCGAAAGGAACGGAACACGGCAACGGCCGAGCCTGCACGCCAAGGCCAGAAAGGAGACCAAAAGCAGCCCAGCTGAGCAAAGCTCCAAGGGCCAAAGGGCCCGCGCGAGGGCGGCTGACGGGCCCGAGACCCCACACAAGAGCAAGCGAAGTTGGAGAGGAGAGGAAGAGGATATAAGGGAACGAAAAAAAAAAGACAGAAAAGAAGGGTCAGCCACTCCGAGTCCGGAAGTTACCCAGGAGTCTCAACATCATCAATGAATTTGAACGCGAGGGACTTAGGCAGGGATGGGCAAATTAGGCGACTGGTGGAGGCCAAACGGAACGGATGCCAAGTAGTGACGGGTAGAGGAGGGTTAGGGTGATGAACGAAATGAGAAGTGGCTGCGAGGACTCAAAGCCGAATCGTGTATGCCCAACAACTTCCCTGTGGGTGGAGCAAGAGCCGTAGCAGCGGGGCCTGAAGGTGAAGGAGAGGAGAAGAAAAATAATATTGAGGAGCTATATCGAGAATGGGATCACATCGCCACCGGCTATTGGCCGGGCCGGACCGAAAGCGCGAAATCTGTAGTGCGAAAAATAGTTTTTCAGATTTTTACACTTTTGAACCGGGGGATCTGTAGATCTCATTCTTTTAGTGCTTTCTACACAGTTTCAGCATAACTGAGTCAAAGGTGACTGCTCAGTAATGATCTCTATTTTGGGTAATTGACTTGTCACGAAGTTAGGTCCGCTATCATACTTCTCGGAAAAATCGGTCATTTCGAGGGCTTTATTTCGCTGGAAATAGCCTCAGATTGCCGAGGGTTTTACCGGCCGAGGGCATCGGCTTTAATCGGTCTGGCGACCGATTTGCCATCACCCTTGGAATGGCGGGGTTGCCCCATCCATGACCATGCATGGATCTCAATGGTCATTCATGCTTCCCTATCCGGAGCTTGTGGATGAGAGGTTGTGGTCAGTGGTCATGAATGGGCTGGCAATTGTTGAAGTTCTCAGACGGAATTCCCCCATTCATGGCCACGAAATGGTCATTGATTCAAGATGCCGGGGATTCGGCTCAGTCCGGCTGCTCGGGAATTCGGCTTGTGGTGATCTGTTGGCTACATTTCAATTGCAGACGACTGAAAGCGGTCTGAGCTCTCCAAACCTTACAGCGATTAGTCGTAATTCAACTCTACGGCAACGCTGATAGTCTGAAACGTAAAAATAATAGAGTGGATGCGAGTGTTCACTATATAGCACCATTAACTAATAGGCTCAATCGGATCTAAGTACAATACCTATGGGACAAAAAAATAATAATTAAAAGGAGCCCTAGCCATTCCAAATAATATCCAGCTTGAGGATAGGTAGTAGAGAAGAAGTCAGTGGAAAGTACTCACCGCGAAGCAAACAGAGTTTTCGTGCCATTTTCCCGGCAGGGTTGTACATCAACAATTGATGACGGACTGCTTCGGATCAAATGAACAAAGAAGTTTAACACAACCAGAAGGGCCATGAATGGCCATGGATGGAGCGGCCATGTCAGAACCATTACCTTGCTTCAACTAACAAGCATGCTGTAATACTGCATAGCCTTGAGTCATAAATCAGCTAGTGACTTAGTCCAACATGTTTGGCGGTCCCAAATTAAGGGACTGGTAGCTCAGTTGGTAGACCCACCACTATATATGCGGGAGGTCTCGAGTTCGATCCTCGACTAGTGCATTCTTCCTTTTACACACTTTCAATAACCTCCGCGGTTTTGAGAGGCCATTCATGAGAACCAGTAAAACATTCCGGAGAAAAATCTTGACGTCTCATGGATGGCCATTGCGTGGTCGGCATCAGGCAAAAACGGCCAACATGCATCCGTCACGCATGAACATTCGAGTTCATGCGCGACCACGCGCGTACATTCATGGCCACGCACTCTCATGCGTGACCATCCATGCTCACGCCACTTTTGTCCAGTAACTCCAGCCATACAGAAGCCTTCGCCTCACACAAACCTGGAACTCAAGGCCGCTCTCATTCAATCTCAAGGCATCAACCCTCGAGAGACCCACGCCTCCCCCAGTCTGACATTGCCAAATAGGGAAGTACGTATGTGGTATGTTTCCCTTCATTCGGTCGTGTGCAGAGGGACATGGGTTCGAACCCGATGGCACACTTTGATCTTTTCACACCCTGAAACTGTTTAATTTTTCTTTTTGGTACACCGTACTTTTTCCACGGCGAGTCCCTTGTTTCCTAACCTGAATAGGATGTGTTTTCGCACCTTTTCTTCTTCTCAATAATTCTACAGAGCAGCACATCATCAAAACTACCACAGACACTAGTCAGTTTATCAAGCTATTCTTGAGAAACAAGATCATCCCAATCTATCATCTTGACCTCAAGGAATACCCCAGGGCTCCATTGATATCTGGAATAACTCAGCCTCTCAAATGTCAAAACATTCGATGAAAGTACGAAAATTTCCTTTTTTGGACAGAAATGTCTTTCAGTTGTGAAGGTGTGGACCAAATTGTTGCTCCGCAATAGTAATATGCTTCTCAAGTGCCTTCAGTCCAAGCGACACGCCATTTGAACTTGAAAAACGCGTCTAAGACGCGGTCAGACCTGGTCAGACTGACAAACATAAGCCTGACACGTGGTGGGAAACCATGCCGTAATGTCAGACTGGGGGAGGCGAAGGGGTTTTTCAACCCTCTTGTCAAGCTCAAGCCATGCTCACGCAGTTCTTTCATCAAGCTTTATGCCCAACAAGGTTCAAGAAAACTCAAATTGAGCAAGCTCTGATGCTTTGGACCGCAAGTTGTTTTTCTACAGTCAAGATTGTGCAAGAAATTTGGTTTCAATTGCAAGAATATTAGGCTCGAATCCAGCCTGTGTATGAAGGCGAACCTGTCGATACACAGGCTGGTCGATCTGAGTTTGAATCCCGCTGTCAATCGAGTTACCAAAAAAGGTTATTCAGGACTTACCCATTATTCACTCGAATTGAGAGATTTTTGCGCGGTAACTGAGCGAATGGTATGCAACTATCATTCTGCGGTTGCCTGGAGGTCTAATCGTGAGTTTTTAGAGTGCAGGAGCCAAAACAGTCAGTGTTGTTCTTGTTTGTTCGTGACGTCACTCACTGTCAGGAATAACCTTTTTTGGTAATCGGGATTGACATGACAATTCAGACTCAGATCGACCGGTCTGTCTATCGACAGGCTTGCCTCCATAGACAGACGGTCACCGGTCTACAAGAATATCAAGCTATCTTCATCTGGCCAAAACACTCCGATTAGATAGTAGACTAAACCCTCTAGAGGGATTTCTCATCCGCTCAAAACTCACAATAAATATATATTTTTCACGGCATGGATTTGAGACATCACTGATACAATCAATCAATCACTCACGTGTGCTTACGACACATATCCTTATTGGGTAGCGATAAGTCCGGACGCCGAGTTACATGCTCCCAAAGTCGTTGGAAAGCTATTGGCTGCAATTTATGTCCTTCCCCTAGCGTTTTGAAGAAGCCCTCCATGAGATTTCAGTAAGTTACAGAAAATGCAATATAAAATTTGGTTTCTGGTTCTTGGGCGATTTGAGACATCAATGATGGCATCATGTGACGTCGTATATTAAATACCCCGAAGTATCGTTTAAACCAGTCGTAAGGTTACGATAAACGGGTGAGTGGGTTTGAGCTCCGTTCAGTCCAATTCCAATCCCAATTAGGCAAGTTGTCGATTCTGGAGGCAAGTCGATAGAAGATGAAGACCCCGCTGTATTTCGGCAAGTCGTGGAGGATTTAAAGCAAAGGGGTGGATCTATAGGTAGAGACGTTAAAACAAAGTAAGGCTTGTGATTACCGTTGTTAATTGAATCCAGAAGAATTTAACAGGAGGGCGAGTGTGGCAGTAAGTTCGAGTTCCAAGAGGTAATTCTTGCTAACTCGGTTGATTCAGTCAGTGGGTTGACACCAGGGGATACTCAGAAAGTGGGGGATAATTGGTACGATGCTATTGAAGTACATTTGTGAATAAATACGAGGAGAGGTACCCGTATTCTGGGTCCATACATGCGGTACAAAATAAATAGGAAGGAGATGTCCATATGGCTCGCACAGCCAAATATCAGGAATCAGGGGTTGTTTCCATGATTTAGAACTCGTCCACATGCTCGTAGTAAGGCACAGATTAAGTTCTTTCAGCTTGAAATTGAGTTGAACCAGTAAGATCGAGTCGGGGAGAAATGTGGGTATTTGTTCCACATGGGGCGCTTGTGGAATCGTTGCAATGGTTGCCTCGAGGTGATCTGGACCATATGAACGTGTTCTGACCCTGAAATTGATTTTGCGCCGGAGGCGAGAGCCAGGAACAGATATTCAAAAGTCGAGGTAAGGCGAAATGATGCGATCATCCGAGATTCCCACGGTTCAACTGGATTGTGTCGGTGGTGACGGTGGAGCAAAAGAGGTGAAAGTTGGAGGATAGAGAGCCAGGGGTACATATATCGAATTAAATGGACGAATAAAACTGGGAGGTTGGTATGTGAATTTAGGGTGTTTTCAATGTAAACAGCGAAGCTGTGTCACAATCAGTGATGGGACCTATTCGGTGGTGTCTATGCGATGTGCACCATAGTCTCGGATACCCAGACCTTTCTCCGCAATCCTTACCGGAGGTGTTTCCATATATAGTCAATGGGATTGATGTTGAAAGGGTGGGAGAATTTTTAGGGCGGAGTACTATATGTGACCGGCCTTCCGGCCACCTTAAGGGCTTTCAGTGATTTTGAAGGCTGAATAATGATTCCATGTGCCACATTGGAACCCTAGTTGTAGGCTAGCATCCTACGAGTGAGTTGCGAGCAAAAGTGTGAGGATTGATGATGTTTTGATCAGTCGGCAAATCCGGCCATGGACGCCGGCATGTGAAGATGTGTATAAATCAGATTCATTGGCAGCTCAACACGGACAGCGACGGACTCACCAGATTAATGATCTCGATGAAAATTTTCTTCTGGCGACGCTTGCTCAAAAGAATTGGGCGGAAGTAGTCAAACGCAGCTCTAACATCGTCTTCAGTGCTCAGCCGTTTGGGAAGGTCCCGTTTCAAATCATCGCTCGACTTCCATCCCAGTTGGGCATCACCATCGGGAATCTCCATTCGCGCACAGATGCGGGCAAGAAAATCCTCGGGCGCAATATTGTCAATGGAAATCTCGAGGACAGTAGGTGGAACAGCGGTAGCCTGAGTCGTAGCTGTTTCCTGTACTGCAGGCCCCGGGACATGGACATCCAGCTCTGAAACAATTCAATGGTATTCTCAAGGTACACTAACTCGGCAAAAAAAATGTCCGATCGATATTCCGCATATTTCTCAACAATGGACATACATTTCGGCTTCAAATGACTTACAGTGTAGTTTGTAGAATCAAGGGGCATTATTCTACCGCATTTGTTTTGCGGCAAAATATGATGCGCCATCGAGCCGGCCACAACACAAAAAATCCGATTTTCCAGATTGCTCAGATTACAATTGATCTCAGAGCTGACTTTCTCGTTCTATAGCCTGAACTGAGTATTTCTCCAAGTTAGACCAAGCAAAAATATGCAGGCAAAAAGGCGCTACAGCGCGCGCAAAGTGGCCATTTTCGGCTATTTTGACCGGAATGTGCCGAAATTTGATCAAAATGGCAGAATTGTTCGCGTCATAGCGCTACAACGCTCAACCTTTTTGCTTGGTTCAACTTGTGGAATTGCTTAGTTTATCTTGAACTTTCGACGTATGCACCTGGGTTACCCTGAAATCGGTCACTGCAGAACCGGAAAATATCCTGTTTCGGTAGTTTCGCTCAATTGATGCCGGATCAATAGACTTTGATGATCTATTTGCGCGCAAAAATTCCGGCTCGGTCACTTCCACGACCTCCAACTTCGTTTCAGATGGAAAGTTCCATTTCCGTGCAAAAACGAAGCAAAAACCGATCGGACATTTTTTTTGCCGAGTTAGTGTAGTTATGCTCCAAGGACTTACGAAGACTCGGGGGCTGAGAGCTTGGAATGGGGCCTCGAGGCTGGGAGATGTACTGAGGCGGTGCGTAGCCCGGCCCGGGTGCCATGTACCCTATGTTAGCAAAAGCACCCCTGGTCCATTGTGTGTTGAAGTTGGGCAACAGCAAGCTCTGTGTTCGTCGGAGGAGGCATCGGACCCATTCCAAGGAGATACTGAGTTGTTGCGTAGCGTTGTGGATTTTGAGGATTCATTTTTGTAAATACGAGGCTCCATGAATTATCCGTTGTTTTTATACACCTCGATTATGATACACCGTCATCGATTACCCCAATTACGCTGCGCGTAGGCTGCAACATGAGGACGCCCCGCTCTGACGCGCCAGCCGTCGGTTGGCGGCATTGGAGGGCAGTGCCTGCCTTATATGATAACTGACGTCACTTCATCAGCGGGAACTTTTTTTCGGAACGCTCCAGTGTTTTGTAGATAGCTGGAATCATACTGACTATTGTTCAGGTGTTTGGAGAGCTTTACAACCGAGAAGGCACTATGCAATAAGAAATTAATCACAAGTTATTGGAATTCACCTCATTTCCAATGAAAATTCTTCGTTTTTGAGTATGGGTTCGCACCAGTGCGAACCTCTTCCAAAATCCCGAAACCCTGAACCGCACCTGGGGTTCGGTTCGGTGCAGCCAGCCCTTCCGA